GCTTTCAACAATTATAACAGTTGCGAGATAAGCAGCTAGGATCAGAGCAACCAAAGAGAAACCATTCAGATGCTTCTTCTCATCCTCTTCAGTTGTTTCACAGACCCTAACGAGCCACATGAATAGCAAAGAACTGCTAGGTGGCAAAATCGCCAACAACAGAAGATATGAAGTAGGCTTGTTCTTAAGCATTGTCCGATATACTTGGATTAATATTGCTCCACTCAGTCCAAGGAAACCCTAAAGTAGCAGAGGAAAAAAAGGAAGAGAAAAAAATAGGATACTGAATTTCAAGGCTTAAGCTAAAATATGTCACAAAAAGAACAGTATTGATTTTATGAACTAGAATTTAGGCTTTAAATGTTCTGTATTTTCTCTTTCCAACAATGATTCTTGTTTGATCTATTTAATTCTATTCAAAACAAAGCAGTAACCAGACAGAAGACAACTTGAGGTTTAACACTTGTGTCAAGTTGTCAGCAATATGTTTTCCTTTGGGATCTTTAACCATCAGAAGTACCTTAAAAATGATAATTAAAAAAAAAATACATTTCAACTCTTGAAACTTTCGAAATCCTACAGAAATCTGAATCCACACATCAAATATACCATAAACTGCCAAAAGTTTTAACCTTAGAGAGAGAGGGGGAGAGAGAGATTCAGGCACAATAGGCCATCAGAAACTGCTCTTTGAACTAAAATGAAATCTTGACTATTATTGAACCTATATGCACTATGCCCTAGGGCTAAAAAATAGAGTATGCCTCTTCTAGCAATGCAATGGCTGGTTCTAATCAGTCACAAACTGTCTTACAAAAGTCTGCAATGTGCAAATCAATTCTCAACATTTACTTTCCCAGTCAACTAATGGCGTGTTAGAAGTTCATCTCTCATCACAATCGTGAATTCACTGGGATTTCAGTGCTAATTAGTAATTCTAAAATGCTCTCTAGAATATAAAGAATGCGTTTAAACTGGCAGGTGTTACCTTGGGGCATGGAGGAGCTAGATTCAAGCCTCTTAACAAAATTTCATGATCTAATCTTTAGAGGCTAGGAATAAATTTAAAAATAAATATCTTTTGACAATGTAGAAACAGGAAAAATAAATAAATGTTTAAGCTCCAGAACCAATCAACATAGCAGCTATTGTACATCTGAACAGAAGTAGCTTCCTATGCTTCGACTACTGCCAATTTCCAAATAGCTTCTCCCTCTATTCTAAGCTAGTCTTCAGCTTCTAGTTACACTCCAAGCCTACAAAGCTACAAATCTGCTCTCGGCCTCTCTCCAGTTTGTGCATCCTATGTTTCTGAAAGTAAAAATTCCTTAGCACTCTCTGTTGACATAAATCAGGTCTAACTGCCCAAGAATTAAACTAGTATTCCACTAGAAATCTCTTTAAAAGGACCCTGGTTTTCACAATTAAATGCTACACCAACCACTGGGTTCACCAAGAATGCGGGATTGACTTGTCTCAAGGGTACCACAAAAAGCATTAGCACCAAGGGTTATGTATCAAATAGGAAAGCTTTATGTTAGCAATGGCTGCACTCTGCACTCATCAAATTGAAATAGGGAAATGCCCAAACACCATAAGTAAGCATTTGCATAATTTTAGGTGATTGGGTGAGAATCAAACCTTCATAATACCAACCACAGTCCCTCTATGTCTGGGGAAATTATGAACCGCAGTAACAACATTAGCGGTGTTGAAGAAGGTGGTGGCCTGAGCGGCAAGGAGCATGTAGAGGCACATGACAAGCACGTGGGGTGCGGGCAGCAAACCCACGACGGTCAACCACATGAGGAAGTAGCCGGCGAAGCATAGAAGCGCGCCGACCAAGAGCACCACCCAGGGGCCGCCACCGCAGGCGGCGGAGTAGAGGAGGCCGGAGAGTACGCCGACGTTGGCGCCGAAGTCTTTGAAAACGGAAACGGTGTCGAGGGTTGACTGATCATAGGCTTGGGATGATTTCAAGACGGAGGAGTAGATGGCGAAGGTGTAGAGAGAGCCGCTGGTGGATTGAATCCATATGCTGGCCACTGTAGCGACCCACTTGCTGTTGATCTTGGTTTTGAATCGAGGGTTGTAATCCGGGTCTAAATCCATTTCCTTCCTTCTTTTTCGTGATGAAATTATAGTTTCGATTAGCCATTTTAGGTTTTATGGAATTGGGAAGAGGAAGAAGCATGGTGCCAGGTGCCTTGTCTATGTGAGCTGTGAGGTTTGTAAACTTTTTTCACTATGTAGCTCCACACTCATAAATTATTCACCATCTTTCTATAATGCTTTTAATGCTGTGAAGTGAGATGTTTTATTATGTTCTTATTATTTCATCATTCATTTTACACTCAAACTTGTATGAGATTGTCTCATCTAGTTACAATGAACATGTCAGAAAAATATTTAATACTGATCAAGAATCAAAATGTTTATTACTTATAACGCAAAAATGCAATACTTTGAAAAAAAAATAATATTTTTACATTCTGATTTAAAAGTATTACATTTTTCTTTAAAATATTACACTTAAGTAACAAATAGTTTATTATAATTAGTATTACCTTTTTCGATATAAGTATTACATTTATATCTTGACCTGATCCATCTCATGAACAAGAATTTATGAAATTATCTCACACAAGTTTTTGCCTAATATTATTTAGTGGAAAAATCTAAATGTGATTCTTTTGTCGGATGTGCTAAAGCAAGAAAGAAAAAATAAAAGAATTTACAACTAAAAATAAAAAAAATAAAAAAATTCAAAGTGGTTGCTAGTTGACAACTATTCTAATGCGTCTAATTGGCCTGTGAGAGACACATGCCCATTGGGCGAACAAGTAAACTCCACGAAGTTGCCATCGAGGCATAGAATGGTAGGTTTCTCGTTTGATTTAAAAGTCATGACTAGAGACAATGTTGGGTTCGAATTCCATGAAAACATGTATGAAAAAATGACTCATGTTGAAAGCTCTGAATTAGATCCTTTGTGTGTATATAAAGTTTAGAATCTGATAGGTGGGCTGATTACGTAACTCACGATTTACATTCACATAGACTCTAGGAGAGGAAGGCAAATTAGTGTGTGGACCACGGTCCAAAATATCGGCGTGAATATTATGAGTTAAAATAATGTACATTGTGTGTTAGAATAATATACATTATACTTTAAAATAATGTACATTATGTGTTAAAATAATGTACATTTCGTGTTAGAATAATGAAACATCTGAGGTAATATCATGTACATTATGTTTTAAATAAATGTATATTATCCTTTAAAATAATGTACATTATGAGTTATAAAAATGTATGTTACAGTTGGACACGCGAAAAAATAAAATTAAACAAATTGACGTCGTTTTTGGACCGTGGTCCACACAATTCAATAACAATTGGAGGAGTTTGTGGACTTAGAATTAGTCCAGTTATATATATATATGTGTGTATGTGTGTTAAGGATCCAGTGAGATCACCCTAGTTATATCTAAATAATTGTAATTAATGGATATGATTTAATTAAACTTTACCATTACGCACCTTAAATTTTCAAGTTTAGAACTGAAGCACAAGTGTCAAAATGATGCACCTTATGCTTTCAACAATACACAAAATTATATAATGCTACCGTATTTTTTTTTTAAAAAAAAAAATTATGTTAATTCTAGGACGGTTGATCTTGACAGGACAAATGGATTTCATGGCTATCCAATGTTTTACTTGGAGACTTCCTCCGCATTTGATCTTTGTTATATACATAGTTGCAGTAGGCGCTAGGTGGGCGCCAAAAAGATAATGACAGACTTGCAATTTGATAATTTTAATGAGGTTGTTTTCAACATTCAATCAAATAACACATCCAAATAAATGAAATAATGATAATTAATAAGTCATAACATCAAAACAATATTAAAAAAATAAAAATACTCAAATATGAAATATTCAAATACTTCAATTATACAAAGATTCAAAGTATCAAACTAATTTACATACGACTGAACTAGACGATATCAGACGAAATCGGTAGTCGATATCAGACGAAATCGGTCAAAATCGACCGACTCAATCGAGTTGGCTAACGAAATCGGTCAAAATCGACCTACTCGACCGAGTTGGCTAACTAGGTCAATTTTGACTGATTTTGACCGATTTCACCGTCTAGCTGGTCGCCTAAGCGCCCGGTCGATTTTTTGGTGCCTAATAGTGAAAACGAAACGGCCTAGGAGTGTAAACCTATTTTTACAACAGTGGTTATACACACACTATAAGTACATAATCTAAATCAGAATCCACGATATAGCAATTGCCAGTTTCCCTTTCACATGTTGTACTAGTTGGAAAGAAAAATTGAAATATTTTTAGGCCAAAATGCACTTTGCATAGCCGGTCGCGCCTAGGTGCCCGACTGATTTTTCTGTGCCAAATAGTGAAAACGAAATGGCCTAGGGGCTCCTAGGCGCTGCCTAGGCCGATTTTTACAACAGTACACACACACACATTATAAGTACATAATCTAAATCAGGATCCACGATATAACAATTGCCATTTTCCCTTTCATATGTTGTACTAGTTGGAAAGAGAATTGAAATATTTTAGGCCAAAATGCACCCAAAAAAATATATACTTCAATTGCACGTATTTTTCTTGTTTAATAGTTCAATAGGTCATGTTGAAAAAAAAAAAAGTTCAATAGGTCAAAAAAAAAAAAAATCCAATTGCACTTATTTTACTTGTTTAATAGTTTAATTGCACATATTTTAAGTTTAGTGACCCAATTATACAAGAAGTCAAAAACAATAAATTCAGTGATCTATTTAACAATTTTAAAGTTAGAAAGTTTGATAGCTTAGGCCAAGATTTGAAGATTGCAAATGCATGTTGTTTGTTAAGACTGTTAGAGAAGAGATGTGGCCAAAAGATTTAGGACTCTTTCTTAGCCAAAAAATTCCAAAAAGAAAAGAAAAGGCAGTTGAATAAGTGAGTAAATTAAAAGTGAATAAGTTTAAGTAGTAAAAAACATAAAGAGATTAAGGTATATTGCATTGCAGTTCAAACTCACAAAACCATCCCCACCAATATAGCTTTTTACACCCAAATTCTTTTTACTCAGTCTTTTCCCTCAGTAAAATCCGCAATTAATCAATCAGACTTGTACAGATCAACACAACACACAAGAAAACAAACACATACTCTCATCTTCTCTTCTCTTCCACCACCTTAATCATCATTCATCATTCCCACCACCTTAATTCTCATCTCCAAATCTCCCAAAATTCTTCTTTTTTTTTTTTTTTTTTTTGAATTGAAGAACAAAAAAATTTGATATTTGATACACAAAACAATAACATTATCATCATATTCATATTCATATTCATATTCATGGGTTGAGATTTGAAGGGTCTTACCTGATTGTTGGTTTGATGCTTTGCAACGATGACTCGGAAGGGCGGCACGAGCCAGGCCTGTGCCTCTTGCAAGTACCAGAGGAGGCGGTGCAAAGTTGACTGCCCTTTGGCACCCTATTTCCCTGCTGATCAACCTAACATGTTTCAAAATGCACACAGGCTGTTTGGGGTAAGCAATATTATCAAAATACTTAAGCAAATTGATCCTAGCCAGAGAGGCGTGGCCATGAAGTCTATAATTGACCAAGCTAACGCCCGTGCCAAATACCCAGTTTATGGATGTGTGGCCGAGATACAACAGCTCATGCTCAAGATTCAGCTCGCCGAGGAGGAGCTCCAGGCTGTTCAGGCACAATTGGCGTTCTACCGACAGCACAATCAGCAGCAACAGCAGCAGCAGCAGGAGATCTCGTCGACCGGCCCCGGCCCCACCACTGATTCTGTTCTGCCCTTGCAATTGGGGACCTTGCCTCCTCCTCTTCCCATTTCTCCTCCCACCAATGCCCCCGGCTTCTCGCTTTTCCATCAAGACCCTCCTCCCCAATATTGCAATGCTGCTGCTTTTCCTGTTTCCCATCCCTCCTCCTACTCCAATGCTGCTTATAACACCTCCAATGCTACTACCTATGTCAATTCTAAAGACAACAATAACATCAATTCTTTATGGATTCAACAACATTTCACTAATAGTAATAGTAATACCAATAACAATAACAACAACAACAATACTGTCAATCCAATGATGATGCAACCACAAATGGGGAGTGGGACTGCACAGCCCATCACTATACAACAACAAGAAGAAAACATTCAAGATTACGACGAGATACATCCGTTTTTTGATACTATTGATGATAGACAATCCTACATTGACTCCAAGGAAGCATATGAATCAAGGTAGTACACTCTCTTCACCCTAATTACATTCAATTGCTTCAAATTCACAAATTACATGCTGAAGCTTTCTTCATGCCACTTTATGCAGCTCCGAATCATCATTGAAAGATATAGCACAATCTGTTGAGCATGTTTCCGAGAATGAATTAAAGAGCGCAGCAGCTTGTTTCAGTCTCACTAGTGTCAACTTGTAGAAACCATCCAGAGTAAGAAGAAAGATAGCAAGAGTGACACAGATTTGATGCTGTTCAAACAGAAATAAAAGAATATCAGAGTATGTTCAGCAATTTAATCTTTATACTCCTATTTTTATTTTTATTGCTTGCTTTTTGATCACCCTTCTCCTTGATTCAGTAACAACTATGCATGTAACTTAAAATTGCCATAAATACCCTATATGGAATTTCTCTTTTATCTATAAAGTGGGAATCAACAAAATATGAGCTGCAGATATGCATACCATATTCATAATCAGCTGCTCAGAAAATTTAAGCTCCATTTTTTCTCTGGGTAACTTCTATAATGGTCAGTATCAGAAACCATCAAGCCCAATTTCATTATTGTGGTAGTATTACAGAAATTGGTAGCTGTGCAGATCAGGCAATGTACAATTTCCATTTGTATTTCATGAATTCTGTGCTCCATGTGTTTCATCTTTATTTGTTTTCATAGATTCTTCATTCTCTTATCACATGTCAACAATTCCATGGTCTTAAATGATTTTTCCATTAACATAATACGCTGCCAATGTTGTACAACTATGACCATCAGACATCTACTGATGGCAGGAAAGCAGGCAGGTTTACAAAGAGAGTATATAGTAGTAGAGAGTCAACACGGCAAAATGTTTATTCAGGAGAAGATCAAGGAGCATTAATCCTGTATGTGTCTCTTAGGTGCTCTGACATCTACAAGTCTAGAAGTCCCTATTGTAGAATGATTGCTAGCAGCCAAAGTTTGAGTTTCCTTTGTATAAATAGTGGGATGCCTGATAAATGCAGAGAATGAACAGGACTTCCTGCATGCTAATTGAAATCTAGTGTACAAAACAATATGTTGGAAGTTCAAAGCTTAGGAGCATTAAGAGGTGAACAAATGAAGATAGGATGTTTCAGAGATATAAGTCCTTTGTCTTCCATAATGCTACTAGGAAAAGGAAAAACTATGATTGGCAGTTCCTTGATGCGGGTTGGGGACATGGGTATGATGCAGGAAGGAAACAATACTTTTATCAATTATTTAATAGATGTTTTAGTTAGATTAGAATTGCTTAATAGCTGGTGGTCTTAGTCTTTTAGGTGTTCCAGTTATTTGGTGACTATTAGTTATTGATGTCTTGTATTTTCCCTATTATAAAAAGGGAGAATTCATTGGATTAATGGGAAGCAGAATTTTAAATACCAAAAGGGGACTAAGGGAGTTTTGGGATCTCAAGCAAACCGAGCTTTTCAATAAGGGGACTAAGAGTGGCAAAACACTTCTTCCTAATCCTTCTGCCCGTGACTTAGACCATAACATTCCTCCACTATTTTCAATAAACAATTTATTAAGTCAGTGAATGAGAATTTTGATGGAATGATGGATTTCAGGAAAAAAAAAAACAAAAAAAAAAACAAACAAACAAACAAACAAAAAGACCTCTGAGTTGGTGTATTACTTGATCAAAGGCATAGATGAAGGTTTTCTTATGATCGAGTAGATATTACTAGTAACAACTGTGTTTGAATACTCTTCGTCTCTTCATATCATGCTAACTAATGATCGAGTAAATATAATATAATATAATGTACTATTGTACTTCCTAGTTCCCAAAATTGTCTTATATCTGTCACTGAAAGGGGAGGAAGCATACCTAGCACAAGTGTCTTGTATAATGTGGGTTAGGGAATCCTCAGTAGTACCCAGAATGTTAGGAACTTAATAATAATATAATAATAATAATAAAAAAGAAAAAAACATCTAGGCACATGGAGACATGGCAGCATTAACAGAGTCTAGGCATGATTACCCAACCTATTGACAGTGTTAGTGCTTCTTAGACTTCTGAGAATAAGTGAATAACAATGATGGAACCAAGTGTATAGGATTAATTAAAAATGAAAGTGAAGATTATTTTAGTTGTTGCAATAACTCAAGGAGATATATTACAATGATTATATTGTCTATTGTGCATCTATAGAATTCATTGCTTACACTGACTGTGGATGCAGGTCATATGAGTCTTGTATTGTATGAACCGCAATGAGAGCACTTGTGATAGAGCCAGTGGAAGGAAGCAGTACCTCTCTTTTCACAGTCATTGCACAGTATAGCCTGCATAACCAGCACAAGAATATTTTAGAAAATCCAAGACAGCTGATATTCCAGCTAGTCAACCGAGAAACTGCAATAGGTGAACCTGAGTCTGGCCAGCATACTCCTCAGGAATTTTCTCCTCAGCCAATAATGTATCCAACATCTTAAAATAAACCTGAAAGCAGATACGACTTCTTTTTAGATGAGACAGCGACCAGCATGTAAGTAAGGACTACACGACACATGTTACGTAAAGGCTTTTTGCATTTGATGTCCTCTTTGTTTTTTTTTTTTTTTTTTCCACAACCTTTCTGAAGGACTACTCTGTAGTTTTTGAGTTAAATGGCAATATAAATGACAGGTTATTATAGTTTATCATCTCCTCGCCTATTCTGCTCTCTAACTTCAAACAACCATTTGAAAACAGTGCCACTGTGGTGGGAAAGAGTCTCACACAAGTGTAGGCAGAAGAAAAGTAAAGAACAATGTTAAGGAACTGTTTCCAAATCAGCAACATCCTAGGTAAGGTCATTCAATGGGTCACTTGAAGTTTTCATGTACAGTGCTCATATTCAGTTACAGTTGTATATCCATTATTATATAAACATTTATTTTTCCAAGACCACAGTTAAAAAGCATGGTTGTAAATGTGAAAGGGAAGTGATCCAACAGAGATTTAAAATGTGTCTACTACACTGAATAAACTCGGCATTTTGTAGTCATGTAATATGACGATCTTTTATTATAATAGCCTAAGAATCTTTTTAAGATTAACAAAATTATGAATATATAAACACATTTGTATATACCTGCATGTCCCCAAGCGACTTGCTACAGATCGGACAAATGTAATGGGTACAAGTGTAGTCCTTGGTAAAAAAACAGAAAAGGAAATCATCAGCTATTAAAAGGATGCATTATTTTGAGGTAAACTGGAAACTATCTGGTGAATACCTGAAAACATGACGAGTGCATCACATGACCACACGGAAGTGCTTTAACTGGAGAGGTTGAAGTAAAAATATACTCATGGCAAATTGGGCAGTTATCTTCAAAACACTTTTCTCTGCATACATGCACACTAAGGGACCGTGACATACAAGCATTGCAATTCATACAATGGAAGTAGTCAATGCCCAATCCTTTCCCAACACGGCACAAATTACAGTAAGGGCAGTGATATATTTGCCTGTTCATCACACAAGAAATGAGATAAAAGTAGAGTTAGGAAGAGTAATATGATTATAATACAAATTTGGTCAGATGAATAGGAGGAACAATCAAGTTACTTTATACTAGATATATATTTACTTTAAAAAGATAAGCATTAGAGATTAAAATTGATTTCAGGGAGAAACCAAAAGGAAAAAGTAAATTTTGTTTCCCCGGTTTATACTAGAGCATCACAACTTCATAAGAGATGTTGCAAAATAACCCATGTTATTATTATATAATCTAAGATTGGGCCAAAGTCAATCAATTGGGTTATAATGCACATGGGCCAAACCACACTAAAAGATTGAATCCAATCAATTAGCTAGTCTAACTCATGACCTTATAAACCCATATGTTTTCTCTTATATTTTCAATGTGGGACTCTTAACACTTTCATATGAACTAGACTAGATAATCTGGAGAATGGAATCATCACACACTTAATTTTGGACAAAGAGTGTAGTATAACATTTTTTCTTTTGTTTCATTTTGCAAATATGCAAAGTCAATTAAAAGTAAATCCATTATAAAAGTATATGTATGATGCATGCACATAGGGATGTCAGAGAAAAAAAAAACAAAAACAAAAACAAAAAACACTAATAACTTAAAGTTCATCTTAAACAAGCACCAAATTTCTGACATATTTCCTTTTTAGTAAGCTGAACACAACTCCGGTTTTTAAATTGAAATAGAGTGGGCTCTAGAAATTTTAGGAATCTTAACAAGGAATATGATCAACAAGAATGACACTTAGCTAAGAAATTTGAAATCTGAAAGGCAACAGGAAAAAAGGTATAATTTATTTTCTTCCTTTTCATTCAAAGCTTGAGATTGTGATGTAAGAACAAAGACTGATTTATAATTCTCAGCATAATGGCAAAAGTAATGACCACATGTTATTACAAACTTATCTCCCCAAAATTGGCAAGATAATCATGAGAGTCTCTATCTATAAATGAAGTAAACATAACAGAATGGAATAAGTGTTTTTGGTGATCTTACTTTGCATCATCAAACAATTTACAGATCCTGCAATAGTATCTTGCCATGGATAATTTCTTGCAAGTTGGAGTTGAACAATTTGGACCAATAGGTTGAATTAGTAAGCATTTCATGCACATCATCTTGGTAATAGTTCTTCTGCAAGGATAATCACAAGAATGGAAATATGGATGGAAAAAGAACAAGAGACCAGGAAAAATGTGAGTAAGCCTGAGCCATTCGCACCTGTCCAAAGAGTGATCTGTCAGCTCATCATGACACCTTATGCATGTATATAACTTATTGCAACATGGAGCAAGAAGTTTGCAATTCCTCTTGTAATGCTTGCAGCCAAAAACTAGATTTTGTGAATCCTGATAAGCTGGAGATAGACCTAGTGCTTCTTCCTTTTCATTTGTAGCAACAGCCGCTGAATGAGATTTCTTTTGGGTGACAATCCATTGACTGAAAGAAGCAATTATTAAAGCTATAGTTAACTCCATGGAGGGTGCATATGGAATCTATCTAATGTCTGGAAAAGACAAAAAGGGAGAAAATTTAGGAAGCAAGTTCCATGGCTAGTAGTGGCCAAAATGTTTAATTGCTAACCCCTCACATCCTCACCCACCTCAAAATAAGAGATATCATAGTATTCATTCATACCAGGGGAGCATATTTTGCAAGCAATTACCATGGAAGA